GGAGGTGCAGTAAAGCGTCTTTGACAGCAGCTTCCTGGACTTCAGATGATTGACAGCTCAGAGCTTATGATGGTGGAACATGCTTCTGTTACAGATGAGTCTTTGGAGATGTGAAGTATGACTTTGACCTTTGACCTCATCACCTGACAGTGGAGCGATCGCGTGACATCAGGGAACTCCAGTTACAGAAAAACTCTATCAGCTGGACTGAATCTCCGCCGAATTAAAAGTCTGAATAATTTTACTTCCTGTTTTCTAAATAATTAAAGTTTTGACCTCTGACCTTTGACTGTGATGCTCCTGGAGACCAGCTGGGACCCGTACCGGTTCCAGGCTTCGCACCAGTACGAGCCGGAGTCCTCCAGCAGCGTGGAGGAGAGGTTAAAGGTCAGTACCGGTGAGGAGGCAGAGTCTACCCTCAGAAGCTCCTCCTCCTTCCTCTTCAGCACCAGCGTAGGGGGCGGAGCTCCGTCCGAGCGGCAGGTGAAGGTCACGGTCTCGTCCTTCATCACCTCCTCACCTGGACTCACTGAGAGGGAGGTCTCCCTCGGAGGATCTGAGTCAGAGATAAAGTGGTTCACCAAAACCCGGATCCAGGATTTYGGTTCTGGTTTCTTTTATTAAAACKGATTCTTACAGTGGACCTGCAGAGGGATGCTGGTCCATCTGGACCTCCACACGCCTCCGGTCTCCATCAGCAGCTCCACCCTGCAGGTCAGGACCTCCTGGACCTCCTGGACCTGGTGCTTCAAGACCGACGAGACGTTCTGGAGAGAGCCGGAGAAGTTGAAGGACTSCACCATCAGGGTGGTGTTTCCTGACAGCCAGCGGACCCTCAGCTGATTGGACGAGAAGACGCTGACGATGTCGCAGCGAAGCTCCGCCTCCAGGCCCAGCAGGACGGGACCGGGATCCTCCAGAACTGGATCAGACGGGAACGCTGGAGAGACAGAAAACRTCAATGACGTGTTAAAGTTTTATTTTGTGTTTCATTTCCAGAGATTAAAAGGTTTTTCTCTGATGATTTTATTTTGAAAGGACTCGGAGCGGATCCACAAAGATCCTGTTTGAAGCGGGGGGGTGTTGCTGTTTTTGGCTGAGCTGCTGTGGGCGGCTTTCTGTTTCTGTTGAAGTGGTATAAATGTTTACATGGGTGGAGGTTTATTTGTCTTCTCGTGTCACGTCCCGTCGGTCAGAGAGCTGGAGTTTGTCCTGTTCAGCTCACATCGATTCATCAGAGATAAAACCCTCACATCTGAGAAACTAAAGAAAACATCAATATGTTGAAGTCTGTTTATCTGCTTACTCCTCTTCAATGTTTCCAACACTCTGTTGCAGTGGCAGTCAGGGAGTGAGACACGGGCCTGTGGTTACCATCAAGGTTGTAATAGTTTTAGATTTTTCATTATAGTTTAGTTTTATTGTGACATTTTTTCTTT